GAAATACCAAAATTATCTCTCAGTCTGTTGATAAGAACAGAGTGATCCACAGTGTCAAACGCTGAAGTTAAGTCCAATATGTATTAGCTCGGCACTAGCTTGACAAACAAGCTAAACTGAGGTCCTCCATCCATATTTTCATTTGCAGGCTGAGTCATTTTTGTGTTCCCCTCTCTGTCATGTGGATGGAGGACCTCAGTGACGAGAGGAGAATGTGTAGCGCTGAGCTCATACATATATCCACAAGTTTCCTGAGAAGCTTATGTAAGCTGCCATGACAGTCACTAGCCCCGCCCACAGCCCTCCCCACTGTTTGCTTTTTCCGGTGTGCAAGAAATTCATTCATTCAGATAGTTATGATAACAACAAATTTAGTTTGTTTTTGCTTTAACTAGCAGCTTGAGCAGTTCAATCATGAGTTCGTGTTCATCTTGTTTATCTGTCGGCTGCCACAACAATTGAAGAAAACAGAAACACTTTATAAACATTTTGTTTGGAACAAGACGTAGTTGTAAAGGCATAGCGCCCTACAAACTGCACTTTATGCCAACGAAGGAGGATCATAAACTAACATGGCTGGCAGCTTTAAATCTGAAAAACCCACCAAAGGGAGTTTGCTTGCTTTTTTCCTTTTATTGACAAAAATTCCCATGGATACCACTCCGATCCAGCGCTAACTGGCTACTGAAGGCGTCTTGTCTGAACCAGTCAGACAGCTTCCAGCAATATCAACTAAAACCCTGAATCTGTACCTGGTGAGTTAAACTGTAAATGTTGTGTTTCACCTGTTGCTATTTAATCGCGCATTTCTTTGCTTTTATTGAATGAAAGCCTGCGGTGAATGGCATTAGCATCAGCGCCAACTACTGTTAGCCTGGTTGTTTAGCATGTTATTTGCAGCTAAACTTAAATTTAAAGAAATATTTTGCCTATGGTTAGTAGCCGCATGCTGGCAAAACTATATAAATGGCTTAATTTAACTGTCTCAATTCTGAGTAAGCTCAGAATAATTAACAATCCTCTTCTCAAGTACGTGCTAAAATATTTTGTTTACATCATGGCAGGTTTAAAAGACGAGCTTAGCAGCGCCCAGGGACTATAAAAGAGTCCGGTTTGTTTAAATAAAAAATATGCTTAAAAAGTTATTAGAGGCAGTTTATTTATTTTTGTTTATCATTTATTTAAAATGACTGCAGCTGGAAGAAACCCTCCAGTTCATCTCTAAAAGTTACTAGCGAACTAGCACCCAGCGGATTTTATGCTTAGAATAAGGGGGAGAAACAATCTAATCACAATACTTCTTTAAAATTACTACAATTATGAGGAGTTTATGAACATTTTACTTCCAGAACAGTTGACATTTATGATTTTGCATGTGTGTGTCTTCAGGGAAAGGCGAGGTAGTTGATGTCAGTAGTRGCCATTAGCTACTGCTTCATCAGTCYGTGAGCAGTGACGGCTGAGCCACTGAYAAAGAATTGTCCTTGTCGCTTTTTAAAACATTCTTACAGTATATAAACCTCCGATATGTGGCCATCTACGCCAAATTTAAATGAAAAATGCTTTGATAAACAGCGAAGGTCTATGCACCTAATTGTAAACAACACTGCAACCGGAAAAAGAGAACAGAGCTTCCACTATGAATTATGGGTAGTGGGGCAAAACCAGGAATACWGTGGATATGGTGATAGCATYGGGGCTAACGCTAAAGCTAACAGGCTAAGCTGGGGTTCTTCTTTCATGAAGCAGCTCTGTTGTCCTCCATCCATATTTTCAGTTACAGGCTGAGTCCTTTCTACCTTCTCCTCTCTGTCAACGCTCTCTGGTTTTATTTAAAAGAGTCGATCATCAGATACTGTCCAAGATTAACCTTCAGGGTGGATATAACTCGCTCACACCGAGGACCTATCCACGTCATCATTTACCCAGAATGCTTTGTGTGTAAATAAAATGGCYCMGTCCGTGTAATATATTTTAAAAAATTTAGTGTAAAAATGATAAAAACTAAACTGCCTACAGTATTTTTACAGTCTTTATTTTACAGTTAAAACAAATGTTTATCAAATAAAGTCTGTTACAACTAATCATGGATCCCTTTAAGTATTTTGCTTCTTTTTATTTTTTTGCCATTGTTACCATTACTGAGATGCTCACCCGTCTCCTTCTTGCTCCATGAAGACTTCATCTCCATCATCTGCTGCAGCAGCCATCCCAGAGGAGGCAGTAACCATGGGAACCGACTGGGAGGCCATGTTGTCACAACTGTCTGAAGGCACAGACTCAGTCAAGACCGTCACTGAGAAAAACAGAGTTAGCCACCCATCATCCCGTTGTTGTCATTACCGTTACKCCTGCTGCCCGGCAGGGTTTATGAACCAAAATAATARTAATAAAAAAAGGTCCAACTATTAAATATCATCTTACCTGGTGCAGCCACTTGTAAAGGTGTAGTAGGGACGCTTCTTCCTCCTCCATCTTCATCATGAGCAGCCAGGAAAAGAGGAGACTCATACATTCCCAGACCTAAACAAGACAATCATATAAAAACAGCAGATTAAGAATACGAACAATATAATAGAAGCCATCATGTTCGTCAGTGTGTTGCACCTCCTTGAGAGGCCAGCTGTCCCAGGTCAGAGTGTGAAGATGGTGTTTGTTGGAGCAAATCTTCTGGAGGTCCAAATCTGAACCTGGTGGACAGACCTGCGACCTGAGGAGAACTGAGGACAAGACGCTAACAGAAACTGCTCTTACTTTAAACTGAAACAAATCTGAAAAACACTACAAGTAAACCATCTTGCTTCGTTAAAGAGACGTCTGCATGTGAGAACATCTTACTGTATCGCTTCAGCAAAACCATCAGTGCGATGAGGGACCACCAGAGTGGGAGTACTGGGAACCATCCTGTCGTCGTCATCAAAAAAAGGCTGCCAGAACACACACACACACACACACACACACACACACACACACACACACACACACACACACACACACACA